AGCTCACGCACGCCCAGCATTGGGTAGGGTCGACAAGATGCAGCGAGAAGAAGTGGCGCAGCAAGGCAACCGAAGGAGGGATGCCCACCATGGCTTCACAAACAAAGGCGAAGACCGAAATGAGGGTGATGGATTCAGGACTTAGATGCATCATGTGGATCTGATAGTGGGAGAGCACGGCATTGAAGAAATCAAAAAAGAGGGGAACCAGACCCGCCCACAGGGCGTCAGCAAAATATGGGACCTCGGTAACTATCCTGTCGATGGAGAAGTGGGACGCGGGCCAGGCCGTCGTTCTCCCGCATTCATTGAAGATGGTGGCCAGAGCCAAGCTGACCTTGCCCAAGCCCTCGGCGGGGGCCGCCAACGGCGGCGGGCAAGGCGGAGACACGGGTTTCTTCCCTCTCCCCTTCTTCATCGGGGCCATGGCGATAGGAAGGGAGGGAGGATTCGAGATTGAATTGAGAACAGAAACCAGGGTTCGAGCGGAGGAAGGACAGGGAGCGCTCGAGCGATAAAAGGGGAGCGGCTGTGTACGACTACGGGTCCGCCTAGCAAGGCGCAAAATAAGGAGGGCGTGGGGGAACAATGCCGCCCACGTCCAATCAACTGCCGCGCGGCGCCCAAGGCCGCAGGCTATTAGGGCCCGCGGCACTTCGCTCTTGCCCTTTCGCCTCCCTGCACGGCCAAGTCCAGGCTCGCCTTGGGCCCGGGGGCTACTGTCGGCGTTCTGGGAACGGGGGTCCCCAGACTTGCCTGCCTACGGCCTGCGGCGTGGCTCAAAGGAGGGCCCAGCACGGCCCATCTTCACCAACACAAACTCAAGACCCTCGCGAGGGGCCAAGCCTCGCGGGGCGGACGACACGGAGCTTCCTCAGGCACGGCCTCGTCAGGCTGGCTCGCGAGGAGGCGGAGAGATCAAGGCGGGGTACCTCGCGAGGTGCCCGTGACGCAAGCCATGACGACTCAAGGCGCTAGGTGGGTGCCAGCCCGCGCAGCGTCCTCCTTTCCTCTTTGGTGCAAAGGGGGCAAGCGCAGCCGTGGAGTACCAAGGCGTCAGGCAAAGGTTGCCATTTCGGTGCAACGAGACCAAGACCAGGAGGACTATGAGATGGAGGTCACCGTGGAGCCCAAGACGGCGTCCTCACCAGAGCTTTGCGTAGGCGAAGACTACCTTTGTCAGGATAGCTGATGCTTGCTGTCCCCCTTCAAATTAGCCCGCCATTGTTGGCTCCCTTCCCGCTCAATATTTGGGAAGAGGACCAGGGCCTCTATAAATAGGACCAGCCGCCCACCTAGCAAAGGGGTCGGTCTGTTGGGGGGTCGCGTTGAAGTGTCTCTAGGGATCGACTGGTTAGAGAGAGAGAGAGAGAGAGAGAGAGAGAGGGAAAGGTGACTGAACTCGTCCCAGCAGTTCATCGCCCCGGCCAAGAACAGACCCTCGCGAGGCTGTTCTTCCTTGTACTGTTCATCATCCTCAGCCCAAGAGGCAATCCACCACACCACACACTGGAGTAGGGTATTACACCACAACAGTGGCCCGAACCAGTATAAACCCTGTGTCTCTTGTGCTGTTCTTCCCATAGCTTTGATCCTAGCGCGGCGGAGGGGTGCAGGTAGGTAGGAGGCGAAATCTCCGCGCGTGCCTCAGTGTTCGAACCTCAAGGGTCTGCCGGAACCCGAAATCCGACAGTGTGCATTGTGTTGTTTTGTTTCCAGATGATCAGTAGTGGAGCCCAGTCGGGGCGATTGGGGATCTTTTGCATTAGGGGTAGTCTTCTTTTATTTTGGTTCCATAGTCGGATCTTGATTGTATCTGGATGATGTAATGCTATATTCATGTATTGTGTGAAGTGGCGATTGTAAGCCAACTCTTTATCCCTTTCTTATTCAGTACATGGGATGTGTAAAGATTACCCCTCTTGCGACATGCCTACAATGCGGTTATGCCTCTAAGTCGTGCTCCGACACGTGGGAGATATAGCCACATCGTGGGTGTTACAGGTGGCCTCAGTGAGAAGGTGAAGATGGTGTGGTGTCCGTGGTGGCACAGGCTGGTGGGCGGCATGTTGGGCGGTGCGCTTCCGATTGTCTAGGGTGGCGGTGGTGGTTTTGGGACAGAAGAAATCTCCGGCGGCTTGTTCGCCACTGGCGCGGCTGCGCCCATGGGCGTTGCCGGACCCTCCCGAGGGGTGTCGGTGATACCCCTTCCCCACTGCCATACGCGTACCAGGGGAAACCCTAGGACTTGTCCGGGCAGCAGCGACATCGTCGTCGCATTTCTTCATGAAGATGTTGCTTGGTACGCGAGGCTTCGGAGTGCTTGGCGGACGGTGGTACTTCTCCGGAGGGTGCAGCGAGTGTTGGCCATCTTTGCTTAGTTGAGCTGTCGGCGTCGGTATTTGTTTCTTTCTTTTTTCTCTTCTTTTTTTTAGGCTTGTTTGTGCTGCGGCTCCAGCAAACTGGTTGTATCGGTTGGTTGTTGTTTTATAATCTAAAGCAGGGGAGACGCTTTTTCGTATAATGAACACACTTTGTATGAGCATTTGGCGTAACAAAATTGCAGCTTAATTTGTGAGGCAAATGCTATATATGGTCCATGCCACAGGCTAAGTTTTTGGGCCCGTCAGAGATGAGCACAGTAGTAACATGATGCACTGCGGCTTCATTGTACCCAAGGAAAAATCCCATGATCGGGAGAAGAAAAATGATTAAATTTATGGTGTATGCAAAAAAAAAATAATTTGCGAGCAACACCATGTAGGTGTGTTTGGCTTGTACTCCTCATGATTACTACATATGGATGTATGTAGACATATTTTAGAGTGTAGATTCACTTATTTTGCTTCGTATGTAGTCACTTGTTAAAATGCTTAGAAAGACAAGTATGACTACTACATACAGATGTATGTAGACATATTTTAGAATGTAGATTCACTTATTTTGCTCCGTATGTAGTCACTTGTTAAAATGCTTAGAAAGACAAGTATGACTACTACATACGGATGTATGTAGACATATTTTAGAATGTAGATTCACTTATTTTGCTCCGTATGTAGTCACTTGTTAAAATGCTTAGAAAGACAAGTATGACTACTACATACGGATGTATGTAGACATATTTTAGAATGTAGATTCACTTATTTTGCTCCGCATGTAGTCACTTGTTAAAATGCTTAGAAAGACAAGTATGACTACTACATACGGATGTATGTAGACATATTTTAGAATGTAGATTCACTTATTTTGCTCCGTATGTAGTCACTTGTTAAAATGCTTAGAAAGACAAGTATTTATGGTGTAGATTCACTTATTTTGCTTCGTATGTAGTCACTTGTTAAAATGCTTAGAAAGACAAGTATGACTACTACATACGGATGTATGTAGACATATTTTAGAATGTAGATTCACTTATTTTGCTCCGTATGTAGTCACTTGTTAAAATGACTAGAAAGACAAGTAGGCCTTTTTCCTTTTCTTCTCCTCCTCTTCCACTCAAGATCATTCAAATTCTCATCAATATGAAGGGCTGACCACACCAGCCGTGTGGTGCTGGCAGTGCCCGGGGAGCGACTTATAAACTGGCCGATCCTGATCCAGCTAAGCCGTATGGTACTAACAAAAGCGAAACACAACGCTGCATCTGCGGCTCCACGGTTGGGCCTGGCCATAGGCCCATAGCTCTGTATACTCTCGGGTGTCCCCCTGTAGATATTTTTTTTTTAAAGTGCCTTCCCCCTGTTTACAGGCGACGGCCCAGTAGGGTTTTTGACTTTTTTCCCGGGCTCGGAATCTCCTTCGTTCATGCCGTATGCGCCTGTCTCTGCAATCTGCATACCACAAAAAGGTGCTACAGGCAGGAATTTCTCAAAAAAATAATAAAGATGCTACAGGCAGGAAACTTCTCTCAACTAAGGGTTTAGCTTCATGTACAAGGCGCTAATTATTTCTTGTACATATGAACTGAAATTTGACACACATTGATTGCACAGTACACAGAGAATATGCAACATACAGTAGTACTCCCTCCGTCCGGAAATACTTGTCGAAGAAATGAATGTATCTAACCGTATTTTAGTTCTAGATACATCTATTTTTATTCATTTCTTCGACAAATATTTTCAGATGGAGGGAGTAGTAGCTTGCGTATCAATCTTGCTGAGCTCTTGTTGTACTAGTACCATTAGTATGGCCAGGAGGGAGATCGATGAGTGGGCACTAGTCTACGAGCGGATGGAGAACAGGATGTTTGGATATCTACGCATACGTGTTTCCTACTCACTGCAATGCATGCGTGCCGTATCAAATCAATCCAGTACTCCCTCTGTCCCATAATATAAGAATGTTTTTAGTGTCAAAAATGTTTTTATATTATGGGACGGAGAGAGTATCATTTATGTTTGTACAATGGCAATCCACAACTATCCCTATCCGTTTTCCTTTTCCTATTTGGAAATGCAGGGGAACAAAACTGAACGGGCTCCACTCCACAACACAACACGCTAAAATGTACTCCCAGCTTTTCTTTCCCGTGACAGAAGAAAAGGGGGCAATTCATGTTATTCTCAGAAATAATAAAGCAGAAAACACATGACATGACATCCAGGTCAACTTTCATACTCCGTTTTACCATGGCTGCCGATTCATCTTCAATCAACCAGATCAACTACTCCATAACCAAAACGCTACATTAAACGTTCGGAATTCAAAAATACAGTAAAAACGAGCAGCTTCATGTGGCAGCATATGTGGTCTTTGTTCCACTTTTGCCGCTTTGGAATCCGAATTAGTACATTTGGATGAACTTCGGGCAGACCAAATGGCCCAGATCATTCAAATTATGCATCCTTTGTTTTGGTCATAATTACTTGCAACAGTCATGCTTTGCCTACTCAACAGAAAGTAAAAAGGATTTGATAGCGGTAGCTCAGCAAGAAGCCACCAGCAGTACATTTATGATAATGGCTTCGTCCATTTCGCAAGGTCTTGCACTCCGCATATCAGACATCAGTGATCTCCGCCAGGGATGGAAATCTACCGCGATCTGAAAAATTATTATGCACAAGAATCAAAACCAACATTCCAACTCAGCATTTACAGCTTGATTTGCTATATACAAGTAGAGCATAATACAAGATCAAGGAACGCTTCACAAAATAATAGAAAATGATCTCCAGAGTTGAGCTTCAGATATACCAGAATAACAATATAATAGTTCTGAAAAGATTATCTGAAACAAAGTAAGAACATCATATGAGATTTAAAAGTTTGCATGCATATTTGTATTTTTACCAATGCGGTCCATAATAACAATCGAAATCACAGAATTCAAATTAAGCTCAGTTTCCGATGGACATGTATTCAGTTTGCACTAGCAAACACAAATGGTCTGTGGCAATCTCTACATGTGAAGATAACAACTACTCTCTCTGTCCAAAAATAAGTTGAGCAAATTTAACTAAAGCCACGACACTTATTTTGGGAGAGAGGGAGTAATAATTACAGCTTGACTTTGTTGAAGCTGTTTACAAACCAGAACTAACAAACTAAGCAGACACAGATACAGTCATACAGTAAAGAAAATACAACGCAACAGATATGTACGAGGTTATTGTAGTATTTAGCAAACAGCTAGCGCCCACTTCACTCTTCATCGATTACATCAAACTTCACATTTTTGTCAGCATATTTAGCAATTCCACTAGTGCTTGCTTGTGCTCCGTAACAAGTCAAATCTCATAACAAAAATCATGCTCTGTTTTCGAATGTCATATACTAGCACATACGTAAATCAAACCAACACACATTACTTAAATCACTTCCGCTTCGGTAGACCCCCTATAAACACAAAGACGGCCGAGATTGTCCAATACCCCTTTATAACAGAGGGCAGGATGGGCATATTTTGAAAAAGCTTCCCCCGCCGGCCCGACCGCCCGCAAAAAAAAACAGGCGAAGCAATACGTATATGAATACAGCCCGCCCGCCCGGGAGGGAAAAAAATTAAACCGGCCGGCCGCACGCGCCTGGTAACGTGGCAGGCATGCAGACGTGCCCGCCCGCGATCACGGCGGCAGTCCCCGCAGTCAAACACGTCGCGCCGCACCCGTCGCGGCCCCACCCGCCCACGTCCCCCGACCGCACGCCAGCCCGCACCCGTCCGCCAAGCACGGCGCCCGAGGCGCGCATGCACGTAGGCGGTTGCACGCGCGTGCCGCCTGCCGGATGCCACCGCTGCCGCCGCTGTCGTCTCCTCGCATGCCGCGCCTCCGCTGCCTCCTGCCGCCGCGCCTGCCGGACGCCACCGCTGCCACC